AGAGCATACGTAAGTATTTCTTTCTGTGGCTCCAATAAAACAGACACAAAAACGGGTACTATGCTAGACGTAGAGGAGGTTTTTCTTGCCAAAACATGGGTCATGGTGTTGTGCGCCTCAGCTGGGGTTTCAAGATCCACAGTTCTCGCCAGTTTTGGTTCAGTTACTCTTTCACTCTTTCTATGTGCAGACAGGTTGGGTGACGTCGTCCACACTTTCTGCAGGAATGAGGTCCTCGGCATTCTTTTGATGAATGACCCTTTCTCAGACATCCAAAGCAAAGATGATTTTCATAAATGAATGAATTCTTATCACTATCAGACATTGCTTCATACTTTGGACACAAGAGCCACAACATGAGAATCGTCTTCACAGAACATACAAGGAGGCTTATATCCAAAGGAGAATACTGAAGGAGACTCGGTGAGTTGCAGAGTAGACTTTGGTTGGGTGTTGGTACTAAATGTTTTAGCTCTTTTAATGAAGGCTCTCTCTTCTGAGGTATTTTCATTCACTCGAAAAGGTGATGCTACAGGATTACAGACAACTTTAGCTACCCTTTGTAAAAACCTTGTAAATTTGATGAAGTCAGGATATTCTTGGCTTTTATCCAGTTCCTTCACCACAACACAACTTCGTCTATGTACATTCAGGTAATTTTCTTAAAAGCTTGTGATTTTCCTCACAATCATTAAGAATATCCAAACCCTTAACCTGAGGGATAGCCTCTGCGCAGCTTTGTGGGAAATTTGCAAACTCTCTCGGTGCTATTGGAGCATTTGCAGCTATTCTAGGCCACTTTGTAAGCTTAGCCCTAAAGGCTCTTAGGATGATAAACGGGCTGCCATACCTTTCCTGTAAAACACTCCAAATGCCCACGTATGCCTGCTCACTGTTACGTAAAAAATACCCTTCTACTGCTTTAAGAGCTTCACCTGCAGGAAACCTCTTCAAATGTAACATTTTTTCACACACAGGTAAAGGTTCATCACCAATAAGTGCCATAAAGGATGTCTTCCAGTCCATAAATCTAAGAGGGTCGCCGCTAAAAACAACAGGCTCAAGTACAGGGAGTCTGTTTAAGGCAAGAGAGCTGGCAAGAGTCAAAATCTTCTCGTTCTAGGAAAGCAGCTCGGGGCACAAATCTTGGTGTCTGTGGATTTAGGAAGTGGTGGTGTTGTGTTGTAGTATCATGGGAGTGCCTAGAACGTTCAGAGGCTGGGGTCCGGCTTTCAGTGTCATTTTGAATACTAAGAGCTCTTACCCGTGCTGCTGCTACCTTCACTTCAATGTCAGCCTTTAATCTTTGAAGTTTAAATTTTTCATCCTCCAACCTTGCCTTTAATTCGACTTCCTTTATCTTCCATTCAGTTTCCATTTGATTGATTTTACTTTGCTGCGCCAGTATTTCTTGGGTGGCCTTTGCTTGCTCCACTTTGACTGCGAGTTTGGCTTCTGCTTCCACATCCCGACTGCCAGAGGAATCTGCCATTGAGGGCATAGCCGAACCGTCTGACAGTGAAGTCTCGGTTTTTGTATCACCAAACACAGAACTATAGTCTTTTTTGTTTAACATCATACGTACTCTTTCCTTTTCAAGGTGATCATTGAAAGGCTCTTCGTTAAGTTCCTGTCATTTGGCGATCAATTCACAAATGTCAGCTGTAAGCATTACACAGGCATCCATCCGCTTAATGATCTCTGGTGTCATTGTTTGATTACGGAGGATAGGATCGTAATGTTGTTGTACAACAACTTGCTTATCACTGATGTTGTGGCTGGAGCTCTTTAGCTCTTCAGGGGAGCAGAAGCCTTTTAAGTTTGTCCTGATTTCTTTGGCTGCCTTCTTCCAAGCATCATACGCTTTATGAAATGCACTGCTATGGTTCATTGCCATCTGTTCCTTCATTTCTTACCCTTTTCAGTTAGACACTTCTCACGGGTCCTGGACCTCACCTATTGTGGCTCTTTTTCACCAGTTTCTTCATTCGAGTCCAACATTGTGTGCGTCAATTCATGTGACTTAACGTGGTGGAGTTACCCTTTTTGATGCTCATACTCACAATGAACATTTAACACCACATTGACAAAGGGCAAAAAGGTGCAGAGTAAATACAGAGTGTTGCCTATTTACAAATATCATCTTCTAATTGAGTGGAAAGCACAGGATTCCCCATACAAAGTGTGCAGCAATAGTCTCTTATGTCAATAGTCCATACAAAGTTCATTTTCTGCAGGTTCTTCAAAGCACAAGTACACTTTGACTCAAGCAAACTGTACTTATCTGGAATGGAGCCTTCCTTTGTGACGAGTTTTCACTGTAGCAGTCCCAGGATTGAAGGAAGGGATAAGCGATGAGAGAGCCTCGACTGGTGCAGAGATTTTATTTCTGTTCATCTGAAATTACTTCTGTTGATGAGGTCAACCATCAGACCGTGAAAACTGTACAGTTAAATGAACAATGGTTATAGCAACCCAAAATCAAAAAACAAAAAAGCAAAAAAAAAAAAAAAAACACACACACACATCTTAATCACAGGAGCAGTAAATCATGTACCTCGCTCCGCTTTCCCAGGGGCTGCAAATATCAGATCCTATTGGAATGCTGTGTCACACAATACAGAATCTCCGGGCTGGGACATGACCAACCAACATACATCAGTGCACGCTCAAAATAAACTCAATATTAATGTCCAAACATTTCTTAAACACGTACCTCAATTCTGATGGTTTGTTTGAGGCAAAGTTCCATCTCCTAGCTCAGCCAGGGCGTGTTTCCTTGCAGAAAGTTTTTCTTTGCCAACACAGCTGTGTTTCATATGGACTAATGAGCAACTTCTGATTTTACACAGGATCAGTCAGCAACTGATTAGACAACAGTGCCCCGGCTGGAGAATCTTCAAAGTGTTTGAAATAAACAAACAACTGACAGCTACAGAATGAATGAATGAATGAATGAATGAATGGATGGATGGATGGATGGATGGATGGATGGATGGATGGATGGAAGGATGGATGGATGGATGGATGGATGGATGGATGGATGGATGGATGGATGGATGGATGGATGGATGGATGGATGGATGGATGGATGTGCTCCTAACCGAGCACTTTGCTCTCAGACTGCAGGTTTACTGGTGGTTCCCAGAATATCTAAAAATAGGATGGGAGGCAGATCTTTTAGTAATCAGGCTCCTCTCTTGTGGAACCAGCTCCCAGCTTTAGTCCGTGAGGCAGACACTTTGTCTACTTTTAAGACTAGGCTTAAAACATTTTTATTTGATAGGGCCTATGGTTAAAATCTGATGTAAGACTAAATCTGGACAAGTGGGGGAGTAGAGGGAGGTGGAGTGTACAGTCGGTAAAGACGACTCTCCCTTGCCCTGCCTCCAACATGCCTCCATCTAAAAAGGCTTGGTTATCCAGAGTTATCTCTGTAGTTATGCTGCTATAGGCTTAGACTGCTGGAGGATACACTGACCACTTTTCACACTCTACTACTTTCTTCTACAATCTGCTCTTTAACTGTATTATTTACTGCTTTTTCAGCTGTTAACTTTATTTTTCTCTAAGTGTTTTTCTCCCCAGAAGAAGCTACAATGATGTTCTGCTGAGCTGTGGTGGTCTCATGGCGGAGACCATCAACTTGAATACTGTTGCTAACCATTTAAACATTCTCCCTCTTCTGATAATAACATTTTACTTTCCTTGACATTGAATGTGCTACTACTAGTTTACCCGTTTAATTATAGATTCACTAGGATAACTACAGTAAAGTTTATCTCTCACCAAATAGAATATGTACTAAGACATCACAATGTAACCATAGAGACATTACTTGGTGTGTGTGTGTGTGTGTGTGTGTGTGTGTGTGTGTGTGTGTGTGTGTGTGTGTGTGTGTGTGTGTGTGTGTGTGTGTGTGTGTGTGTGTGTGTGTGTAAGTGTGTGTGTGTGTGTGTGTGTGTGTGTGTGTGTGTGTGTGTGTGTGTGTGTGTGTGTGTGTGTGTGTGTGTGTGTGTGTGTGTGTGTGTGTGTGCTCTGTCTTCTCTATCCCCAGTGAGTCGTGGTGGATGGCTGCTTATACTGAGCCAGGATCCTCTGGAGGTTTCTTCCTGTTAAAAGGGAGTTTTCCTGTCCACTATCGCTGCATGCTTGCTTAGTATGAGAATTGCTCTAAAGTCAGTGACTCGATGCAATTTGCTGGGTTCCTTATATAGGAAACTTTTTTCTGATTGGCTTAATGAACTGACCTATATTGGAATGTTTATTATGTGAAGTCGCCTTGAGACGACTCTTGTCGTGATTTGGCGCTAAATAAATCATATAAATTTGAATGGATGGATGAAGTAGTATATACAGGTTGATATGTGCAGTTCTGTCGATAATATTTCAACTTTTAAGTTTAAAACAAGAAAATTCTGTGAAAATAATCAACTTGTCTTCTAAAATAAACGAAAACCTAGAAAACAAATCCGGTGTTTTCTGACGTTTTATCAGTCAGACTGCAGGGGTTTCAGGAAAAGAACATTTGCTTGTAATTACTGTTAAAGACAAGTATCCCTCTACATGAAGCGTTTGACCTTCTCTGGTGGACATTTGTTCATTACCTGGTTCTCTTCAGTCCAAATAAACTAGTTTATGTGTGTTTATGTACAAATTTCAATCATTCCGCTTCTCGGCGTTCCACTCGGAGCTGTCCACTAGCCCGTGGTGCTGAAACTAAAACTTTTAATTTAAAACTCTGTAATTTGTAGGTTTATCAAATAGAGCATGCATTTAACAAAGCACATTGGGCTCTGCTTTGATCCAGCTGACTAACCAGCAATGCGCATTCGGGATTTCGTGTTTAATTAGCATAAAAGAGCTGCTGGAGAGCAGCAGGACTGTGCGTCACAGCCATGGATGAAGATGAGAGGGAGGGGGGGACACCATGGGAGCAAAAAATAAATAAATAAAAATAACTGCTGTGTGTTTTCCTTCCATCAACCGACAAAAGCCCAACCCGGCTGATGTGAAATGATGACTTGGCTCAGCGCGTTACAGGTGGCTGAAGACAGCTGCGCGCGTCTGTGAGCCGGAGCAGCGAGGCAGACGAACCTCAGACAGGCAGAGCGCGCAGGCGGAGCCGCGGCACTTTGCGCTGTCCGGGAACGGCACGTCACTTCAATCACGGGACAATGAAGCAACAAGAGGGCAAACGAGTCCAAGTAACGGAAGTGGAAAAGCGCGTGCGATGACGGAGATCGTGAGGGACAGAGAAGAGGTAATCAGGGCTCCCGGTTTTGGAGAAGAAAACCAACACAGAACAGATGTGTGAAGTTTTGTAAACAAACTCGGGGAGCTGAATTTTATTTTTTCACAAAAGAAAAAACAACACTTTTTAGGGACTGAAAGAGGAGGAAAGCATGGAGCCAGAGGGGACCACAGAGGAACAAGCCACTAATGTGGCGCAATCTGCCGCCTCTAAACTGTCCCAGATGGGCGAAAGAACTAAACAACTGGGAAGCGCAATTCAAGACCCAGAAAAACAGAAACGGATCATCCTCGTGATTGTCTGCATAGCACTTTTATTAGACAACATGCTTTATATGGTGATTGTGCCAATTATACCCGATTACCTCGAAGGGTTACAGAAGGCAGCGGATCAATCCCAAGCTGCTGCTACGCACACTAACTCCTCCAATAGCACCGTCCGAGAAGCACCCAAAGGGAATTTCGACCTCCAGATCGGGGTTCTGTTCGCCTCCAAGGCCATCCTTCAGCTCCTGGTCAACCCGCTGAGTGGCACGTTCATAGACAGAGTAGGCTATGACATCCCACTCTTCATCGGACTCACCATCATGTTCCTCTCCACCCTCACGTTTGCCTTCGCTGATAATTACGCAACGCTGTTCCTTGCGCGCAGCATACAGGGCCTCGGCTCTGCTTTCGCGGACACCTCAGGGATCGCTCTGATCGCGGACAAGTTCACGGAGGAGTCCGAGCGCAGCAAAGCGCTGGGCATCGCCTTGGCTTTCATCTCTTTCGGGAGCCTCGTCGCGCCCCCGTTTGGAGGAGTCCTGTATGAGTTTGCGGGGAAGCGCGTGCCCTTCTTCATCCTGGCCTGCATCTGTCTCACCGACGGCGTGCTGTGCCTGATTGTGCTGAAGCCCTTCTCCAACCGTGAGAGAGAAAACATGCCAGTGGGCACCCCCATCTATAAACTCATGATTGATCCGTATATAGCTGTGGTGGCCGGAGCTCTGATCATCTGCAACATCCCTCTTGCATTCCTTGAACCCACCATCGCTAACTGGATGGAGGACACCATGCAGGCCAGCGAGTGGGAGATTGGCATGACATGGTTCCCTGCCTTCTTCCCTCACGTGCTAGGTGTGTATCTGACTGTAAAACTAGCAGCCAAGTACCCCCATCTGCAGTGGTTCTACGGGGCAATAGGGATGGTGTTCATAGGGGCCAGCTCCTGCACGGTGCCAGCCTGTAAAAACTTTGGGCAGCTCATGATTCCGCTGTGTGGCATCTGCTTTGGTATCGCCTTCGTGGACACGGCGCTTCTGCCGACTTTAGGTTTCCTTGTGGATGTGCGGCACGTGTCGGTGTATGGTAGCGTGTACGCCATTGCCGACATCTCCTACTGCGTAGCTTACGCCCTGGGGCCCGTGGTGGCTGGACAGATCGTGCACGACCTGGGATTTGTCCAGCTCAACTTGGGCATGGGGCTCGCAAACGTGCTTTACGCACCGGCGCTCCTTCTGCTGAAGAACGTCACCAAGATGAAGCCGTCTTTCTCCGAGCGCAATATGCTCCTGGAGGACGGCCCCACGGGGCTGTACGACACTATTAAGATGGAGCAACGAGACAAGAAGAGAAGGGGGCTGTGCACAACAATCGAAGAGAATGGCATTGAGACTTTTGCGCAGCGCTCGCACTCGGAGGATGAGTCCTCAGGCGGAGAGTACGCTTAAAAGACTTTTACCTGAGCATCAAAGTGCCAATGTAGACTTGTGTGTGTTCATTTAAATTCAATCCACTGTGGACAAAATAGGATTGAATGAGAATGTTGGTTATTTTCAGCATTTTAAAGTCATTCTGTTAAATCAAAGCCGCGTTTTCATTTTAAAGTGTTGAGATGTGCTGAAATAAATGTCCCATTCAAAGTATTTATCACTGAAGCCGGCTCGTGACGTAAAAAGGGGCGATTGTAATATATGTCTTCTGATGTCATTCGTGTTTATTTTTGATGGTCAATTAAAAATGCAAAACTGTGCCACGTGACAGTTTAGAATGAAGGGAATTAACTCTGCATCTTGTTGATTCTTCATTTAGTTGATTCATTATTGAATGGTGTGCTTCTGGAATGCAAAGCCTAAAACGATCTGCGACTGTATAAAACATGTATATTCATGTATATAATTAAATCAACATTATGTGAGCCATTCTGTCGTTTTTCATTGTTTCTATATGTGCTTATGATGATTTCATGTTAATTAGCAAATGAAAAATAATAATTTACACATTTGTTCTTAAAATCATGATTATAGGTTACTATTATTCATTTAAAAACGGTGCTACCCATAAAAAATTGAAATGAAACCCGAACAATCAGTCTGATCATTAGTCGTATAAAAAACTGGATGATTGGCCTCGTAAATTAATTTCTCAAATTAATAAATTACTTTCCGGAGCAAAATGATGAATAATGGATTATCATAAAACATAAAATCAAGTGTTTGAGTCTGGTATTGTCAGCCCATAATGATGCAGTGTCTAACCATGTTCCATCCGAGGCGGTCAGTCGGAGTCTAAATGAGGTGGAGTGGAGACGAGAGTTGCTAAATAAACTTCTCGGCGAATAACAGGACTTCTGGGAGGAGCTTGGCTGTCTGGAGGCTGAGGTATCGTCTCAGCATCATCTGAGCCAACAAGGGAGTTTGAGCTGATGCCATGAAGAGGACAGAAAGATGCTGGGATTGATAAAAGATGGAAGTGGGGGAATTTTAACGCCTGTTTCCAATAAATTGAGTACAGATGGGTCAAACTAAAGTGATTACCTGAGCCTGAAGAGGAGAAGTGCAGCTTCTGCGGTGAGTGAGATAACAAATACCTTATATATGGTTGTAGTTTATAAAAAAAATACCTTGATACAGTTGTGTATTTTTATTAACAAATGTTTTATTGTTTTTCTACAAGCATGCAACATTCCCAGCTATGACTGGCATGGTTTTTAACGCTTTATTTAAATTTACTGCTTTTGCCTAAAACATGTTTTCCTGTTTTATTTTGTGAACCAAGCTTCTTGACATCCCTGTGCTGCAAACATGCCAATTCTGGACCAAGAGCCGTCTAAAACTGAAGGGGATGGAGATGTAAATATCAACTCTCTGCTTCACGATTCTTTTTTAATCTCAATACGAGCCTTTTTCTTTCCAAACTTTTATAGTTAATTTGAGTGGATGGTGATTAAAATTCCAAAAACAAAGTGACTTTTAAAGAAAAAGCTAAAAGATTTTCTTCTTTTCTTTTGCCAAATTGAGACATTTAACACAAGTGAATAGTTTCATGTAGGACATTTTATTTAATAACTCCAAGTTCACTTTGGTTAAATGTTAAATCAGATATGTTAAATCAGATAAATCTAACAAGAGGTAAAATGCTAAAAAGTTTTTCTTTCCAATTCATCATTCAGGATCTGCCAAAGCTGCCGTTGCCCAACCTCCAGGACACACTGGACATTTACCTGAGATGCGTGAAACACCTGCTCACTAAAGAACAATTCAGCAGGACCCAAAACATCGTGAAACAGTTCGGAGTTCCTGGAGGAGAGGGAGAGTTATTGCAGCGCAAACTCGTAGAAAGGAGGGAGAAAACGGCAAACTGGGTGAATTAAAGTTATTTAGGACACAATCCATATAATTTCTGCTTTAAAGTTCAGAAACATTTCTGAAGTGCTTTTCATGCAGTTTAAAGGTGCAATTTGTAGGAATTCTACTGTAAAATAATCACAAGAGGAAAAAAGTCATGACAACTTATTGTTTTACTCTAGGCTGAAGCATGCTAGAGGCTAAGCTCACAATGCTAACGGTGAATTAGAAGCAGTCAGCTATAAAAAAGCTCAAGCTGCTTTTTCAATCACTAACAACTTGATATTACAATGAAATGTGGGTGTGGAGTGAACAATGAGTTAATCTTGATATTTTACTTCCTTTAATGAGTCGTTCAGAACTATCACAGCAAGACAGCAAACAACACGTCCTGTAATGCTGGAGGCATACTACCGTAATGAGTATAGTAAGTACTCCCTACCATAAAACACTGAATGCTAACACCACATAGGACAAAGTAACTATCTACTTATCAACTCGCTGTGTGTGACTCATCTTTGCTTGTCATCTAGAGTCTTCTGGCGCTGATCCATAACTGGCAAGAACCATGAAACTAAGAGAATGGGAGGGAAAGAGTCATATTTTTACTTAACAAAGGGACTGCAGCACCCACATTTGACCACAGGATATAAATCTTACAAATTGCACCTTTAAACAGAAAACTCTGAAATTTATGTTCATTTTATTCAAATAGCGTAAAATGTCTAATTTAAACATGTAGGTTTATGACTTCTGGCTCAATGACATGTACCTGAATAATCGACTGGCTCTGCCCGTCAACTCCAGCCCAGCCATGGTTTTCCCCCAACAAAACTTCAGGCTGCCTATCGACTATTTAAGGTAGAAAAAGACACAACACAACTGAAACAAATCTGATCATTTTCCATCCTCTCAAACAGCCAACATGAGAAGAAACCAGCTAGAAGACTTGAGTTTTGTGATTGATTCATAGAAACAGAGAAATTACAGTTGCTGGTGTGATTTACCACTTTGTTGCTCCACACCAAAAGATTGGGTCATTAGTTATTGAGCTGAGAGGTCAGAGAGGTTAGGCTGGAGGGTTAATGAGTAAAGAAAGTATGTTTAGTGCAATTAAAGGTCAAGAGAATGTTTGTGAAATATATTGTAATAATTTCAGATTTTTTTTTTAGGTTTGCAGCACATTTACTTTCAGGAGTTTTGGAGTATAAGACGCTTCTTGATGCGTGAGTCACAAATGTCAAAATGGATTTATCCTCTCCAGGAAAATGTTTATATAACGGACAAAGATGTGTGTGTGTGTGTGTGTGTGTGTGTGTGTGTGTGTGTGTGTGTGTGTGTGTGTGTGCGTGCGTGCGTGCGTGCGTGCGTGTGTGCGTGCGTGTGTGTGTGTGTGTGTGCGTGCGTGTGTGCATGCGTGCGGGTGTGCATGCGTGTGTGTGTGTGTGTGCGTGCGCGTGTGCATGCGTGTATGTGTTTGTTTGTGCGTGTGTGTGTGCGTGCGTGCGTGCATGTGTGTGTGTGTGTGCGTAGTCATGCCCTGCCCATAGACTATGCTCAAGGCCAGCTGGCTGGAACTCCTCTTTGCATGGAGCAGTATTATCGCCTCTTCACATCATACCGACTACCGGGGCCTGAGAGGGACACACTTGTGGCCCAGGAGAGCACGGTGATGCCGGAACCTGAACACGTCATCGTGGCTTGTAAAAACCAGGTCAGACATGAGGATTTTTATTTTATGAAGCGTGACTGTCTTTATCTAAAAATGGTGGATTTTGTTATGGAGGAACACCCGAAAGTACCCAAGCATCCACAATTGTAACTAAGGAAGTAGGTGACCAGTAAAATGTACATTTAAACTGACAATTAACAAAACAACTGAATAACTTCCTATTCCCCAAACATTTTAGAAACACATTTCATAGCTGACGTACAGGTGGAACTGGAGAAAATAGAATACGATGCAAAACTCCACTTATTTCAGTTATTCATCTTAGACTGAGAGACCATCTAAAGCAGGCGTGGGGAACCCTGGTCCTCGAGGGCCGGTGTCCTGCATGTCTTTGCTCCAACACTTCTGATTCAGTGGTTGATTCACCTGTTCAGCAGCTCATCAGGCTCTGCAGAAGCCTGTTAATCACCTGCTGATTGAAATCAGGTGTGTTGAAGCAGGCTTGAAACTAAAATATGCTGGATAGCGGCCCTCGATGGACCAGGGTTCCCCACCCCTGATCCAAAGGCTCAGGAACCCTTTGCAGGTGTTTAGATTAATTAGCTGATTAGAGTGTGACACTTTGAGTCTAGAATATGAAATATTTTTACAATATTCTGATCATCTGATAGGTTGACTTTGGGCTTCTCATAAACTGTAAGACATGATCATTACGATTAAGAAAAATTGCTTCGTAAGCTTCAAGTCATCCAGAACTCAGCAACCCACATAATCACTCCCACCCTCTCTTTCCATCACATCACCCCAGCCCTTCATGAACTCCGGTTGCCCATTAAACTCAGGATCATTTTTAAACTCCTTCTCCATTCACAATCTTGATCCTCCAAATTTACGTGACATTCTTAACATTGCTTCCAGGCTAAAAACACACCTGTTCAGGGCAGCGTATTCGTTGTAGTCTCACTACTGCTTATCACTTGTTGTTTCCATTGTATTTGCTTTTTAAGTTTTAACAGTTTTTAATATTTAGTTTTATTGAATCTCTTAATGTGAAGCAACCTTGGGTGTCCTGAGAGGCGCTTTTAAATAACAAAAAGGCTTGAAATATCTGGCTTTGCTTGTCACGATCTGCCCCTGCCCTCCTGACTGTGTTCCTCTCCTGCCTTGATTACCCTTAGTGTTCTCACCTGTCCCTCGTTAACCTGCCCATGTTTCCCTAATTAGCCCTTTGTATTTATACCCCCTGTTTTGCCCCTGTCCTTGGTCAGATCATTGTTGTTGTTTGTTGGTGTTCCTGTTCATCCCATCCTGCCATTAAACCATTTTTACTTTTACTGAAGCCTGCATTTTTACCTCCTGCTCAGCTCATCCACACATGGTACGCCGTCTCCACCTCGCTCAACGTGACAGAGTCAGTAACACTTCACAATAAGAGTCCCTTTATTAGTGCAACATAGTGCATTATTAAGCATTAATAAATAAAGGGTCCCTTTATTAACGTTCCTGATATTACTAACTATTAAGTGTTCTTAAGGTTAGGACAAAGGGTCACGGGGGTGTCTGCTTAGTAATACATTTTATAATATTAACATTAACATTAAGCAGTTGTTATTTTGTAGTTTATTAATGCTTAATGTATTAAGTGATGTTAATAAAGGGACCCTCATTGTAAAGTGTCTATCACATATATCAGTTTCACCTTTTAAGTCAAATTACTGATATGAATGAACGTTTGCACCACGTTCTAATTTTTAGAGTTTCATTTGTTTCTGCAGAACACAGCAATGCACACTGAGAATTTATTAATGTGTGCAGAAGGCTAAAATATATTTAGACAGAACAGATGTGGAGCCTTTAACAAACATGTGTTGTTTTTACTGTATCATTTTCTTGGTGGTTCATGCAGAACTTCAAGTGACAACACAATAATTTACTGGGCCGAGTCACGGTGGGGGGATGAATAAATGATGGATCTGAGAGTTTAAGACAGGGTTTTACACATTTATTGATCATGACTGTAATCTGACAGAGCAACCCAAAGAGGTTTCAGCCGTCATCACCTGTTATGACAAGATGATGGCATCGAAAGTAAATGTAAAAGATAGGTTTGGATGCAGTTCTGTTTAAACGATGCCACGAGCAGGTTTAACAAAGTCTTTAAGAAAAATGAGAAGCGTTTTAACTGCAAATAGTTCGTATCCCATCTAATCCAGTTCTTTGTCCTGGATGTTGTGATGAACTTCCGCCGGCTGAACGAGAGAGATCTGCTGACTCAGCTCGACAAAATTCTCAAAATGGCTGAAAATGAAGAAGAGCGCCAACCACCCATAGGTCTTCTCACTTCCAACGGACGGACAGAGTGGGCCGAGGCTCGCAGCTTCCTGATGAGAGGTGCATTCAAAAACAGATTCCTCATCCCCTCTGCATTTCCCAAATTTGACTGACATGATTTTTGATCCACAGAATCAACCAACAGGGACTCCCTGGACATGATCGAGCGATGTTTGTGTCTCGTCTGTCTGGATGAAGCTAGTGGTCCTCAGCTAAGCGACACCACATGTGCCGCAATGATGCTGCACGGAGGCGGAGCGGCCAAGAACGGGGGCAACCGCTGGTACGACAAGCCGATGCAGGTCAGTGAGCTCAGCTCTTCTCATCAACATTCAGCACACACGTCATGCAAGAGCTTTGAATTTTGTTCAGGAAAACTAGAAGTTATTAGAGCAGGATGAAAGACATTTTGATTCATTTTGGATTATTTACTTAATAAGACGAAAAATAAAATTTCATGACTGAGTATGCTTGTGTTCCCCTGCCAGTGGACTTATTTTGCCGAAGTCACACATGAATGTGAAAAATGGTTTAATCTAATAATTTCCCCTAGTGATTTATCCATACGCACACGACGGATGTTGCATTTTCAAAACAGCTGCACAAATACAGAGGTGAAAACTAAAGTTGCAAATGTTCTCTGTGTGTTCTACAGTTTGTTGTAGGAGCTGATGGTTGCTGTGGAGTGGTGTGTGAACACTCGCCTTTTGAGGGAATTGTTCTTGTGCAGTGCACAGAGTATCTACTTAAATACATGTAAGAGAAAATGTGTTTGCTGTTTTTTCTTTTTTAAATGTGGAATCTAAAAAGGCTGCTCTAAATTATCTCCGGTTCCTGTGTGGCATCAGGACTGGCAGCCCATCGAAGCTGGTCAGGGCTGCAAGTTTGAGCGAGCTGCCCGCGCCCCGCAGACTCCGCTGGAAGTTCCTTCCAGAGATACAAAAACTTATCTCCTCATCTGCTGAAAAACTTGAGAGGCAAGCATTTCATCCAGATTATTATTTTAATGGAAAATCGTTGATGTTCTGCTGAAAATGTTGCTTTTCTTGGTCAGACTGGTGAAAAATTTGGACATGAATGTCCATAAATTCTATGACTATGGAAAAGAGTTCATCAAGAAGCAGAAAATGAGTCCTGATGCTTACGTCCAGGTCGCACTTCAGTTGGCTTTCTACCGGTGAGAACAAGTTCAACTTTATCATCATGTTGGACAAATTACACTGCAAAAACTGACATTCAAGAAAGTTTACTAAACATGATTTTTGACATTTTACTTTATTTTTAGGGATGCCCAATATTGTGGGTCTGTCATCAATATAAAGACTAAATATAGAAAAATATTGGTATAATTTTTCAGTCTAACCCAACCTTTACATACCATACACATATTATACACCAAACTCTTCAGCTACTTATCCTCTCTCTAAAAATGTCAACTATAACAGATCTGAGGTTTAGCTGTGGAGATAGTTTAGTTTATTTGGCACAATTTAAGATGTAATTTTTGCCCTGTGTAATGAAAGCACGCTGTTCTCACAGCACAAAGCTACATGTAGCTAATGCACACATTAGCTTCATGCCTAGGGAGAATGAGATTCAGCTGCTGTTGGAGACTAATGGGCCATTCCCATCTGTACCAGGTCGGCCCGGGCCGGGTAGTGTAGGTTGTTCACATATCTGGGTGGCCTGGTATTTTTCCGGGCCAACCAAGGCTCGTTCTCAGCCCTCTTCTCGAGGAGGTCTGCTTCAGGCCGACCAGGGCCAACACACCCACTGCTGACAGCAAATTCACACCTTCCATTAGAGCAAGCCTCTGATTGGTGGGTAGAATCAGCCCACATGGGCTTAAGACAAGGATGTGTGGAATCAACCGGGCCAGGCTGGGGCCGACTGGGGCTACCCGGCCCGGGCCGACCCGGTACAGATGGGAATGGCCCATAAATAAACACGGCTCTTTTCCTGTTACTAACTTCAATTAAAGTAGTTGTTATTTTGCACAGAAAACATTTGAAATGTAAACATGCATGAAAGGAGATATGTGATGTTGGTAACCTAAAATGTATTTGTTTTCCTTTATTTTATGAGAGGGGGACACAGCATTTATCAGATATTAGTACATATATATATATATTTTTTTTTAAAAGGGCCAATATCAAGCATCCCTTATTTTGTGTCCAAAACGAAAACAAATCTTTGGTTTGCCAGAATCATCAAAACTAGAAAAATAACTGTTAAATTTGTTTGCTAGTTGTACGAATTCTAGCCAAACAAAGATTTTTTTTCTTTTCATATATGAAATAAAATAACATTTCTAAATACGTGGCCTTTTTTACTTTCTTGAAAATCAGGTTTTGCAGTGTAACAAAACAATAAAAATGGATCATATTTAATGGCCCAGTGTGCTACTTTTTTACTTGTTTATAATCAAATTCTGTGTATCCCATTTACAAAATGCATCATTAGTATTTTTCACTACCGTCTATTCCAAGTACTTTTATTAGCTTGAAAATTGACAACATAAGCTGTGGACGATGCTCCATAATTATGTGCCATCTTGAAATACGATAGCTCTTCCAGGACATACGAGATATAATGTTCTCTGCGTTTTGTGCTTTAGCATGATGTAAACTGACAGGAACAGCAAGGGCAGCACTCTGCCCTGGAAGCATAGTCTGCCAAATAAACCAAGAAGAAGAGAACAAAAGTGTAGTTGCTGTACTTGTTTAGTTTCAATAACATTAATGGCATGGTGGCTTTTTGATGTGTGTGGGCTACTATAGTTGTAATTCCTGCTGTGACCTGTGTGGCGCTAAAGAGTCCAAATTTTCACACACTGGGCCTTTAAGAAGGATTATGTTGTTTTGAGTAGTTTTCTTCAGACTAAAAAATAAGATAAAGGTTTTTAACATTCTTGAAAACCTGTTTTTATAGCGTAATGCTGATTTTAACACTCTTAAAACTTTTATTTCCCTGTGTATTGTTGCAGGTGTCATGGCAGACCAGTGTCGACGTATGAGAGTGCTTCCATACGTCGTTTTCAGCAGGGCAGAGTAGACAACATTCGCTCTGCCACACCGGAAGCTTTGGCTTTTGTAAAAGCAATGACTGAAGGGAAGCTCAGCTCCGGTGTAAGATACCTTCATATTGATGCTGCACTTGTGTCCTCTGTGTTAACTGAATTACAGAATCAGTTTTTCTTTGTTTATCAAGCAATTATACTTTGATGGTTGTTTGTGTTGATGTAATATTGTGACATCTGCAGGACACTGAGAAGATGGAGTTGTTACAAGAGGCCATCAACGCTCAGACAAAGTATACCATTCTGGTAACCTTACTTCATCTCTAGATTTCTGTTACCCCGTTGTGCTACTGATTATGCCAATAACTTCAAATGTCTTCTTTAGACAATTACAGGTAAGGCAATAGACAATCACCTACTGGGATTACGTGAAATTGCACAACAAATGAAGATGGAGAAGCCAGAAATCTTCAAAGATGAGGCCTATTTGATCAGCAATCAGTTCATACTCTCAACAAGTCAGGTGATTTTTCATATATCTTTGTTCTGAAATGTGAGATTTTTTAGAAAATCTGCCTTGAAATAAGAAAAATAAAGAAAACAATTAAGATTTAGTTTTAGTAATTATATATTAAGAGAAAAAGAAAAATAAGATATTTCATTGACTAATTTAAATGGAACATGAGTTTTTTCTTTATTTATATTAGCTCTACGGTCAGTGCAAAATATGTTTTAGCTGTTCTTTGCACTAAATTCCTCTCACATGAAGTGATTTAGACAGTTTTATTCTTGGCATTTTCAGTACCTTCCAGAATGAGTCGTTTCAGGGCTCCATCACTTTAATAAACAAACTGCAGCTGGCAACGCTGAAATAAACCTGTATTGCCTGCTTCCTCAGGTCCCAACTACTGTAGAGATGTTCTGCTGTTACGGCCCGGTGGTTCCAAATGGATACGGGGTGTGTTACAACCCTCAGTCAGATCACATCATCTTTTCTGTGTCCAGTTTCCACGAGAGCCCCCTGACATGTTCAGCTGATTTTGTAAGGTGCTTGGTGCAGGGACTCCTGGACATGAGGGATCTGTGCAACAGGTGCAAGCATGGCTCCGATTCAGCCGAGCAGAGGAACGGTCAGATGCCTGAGATGCACTCACACACAAAAACAAGCGATAAAACACCACAGAGGAAATCTGGCCAGACCAAGAGTCAACCAGCATCTCCTCAGGTTCTGGTGAGGAGTTCAGAACAGAAAATCCAAACCAAGAAACCATCATGAAAGAACAGAAGTAGAACACTGACAGAACCAGTCATGTTGTTGGAGTTTTAAATGTATTTGTGCAACAATAGTGTATTTCTGCTGAATCATTTAAAACACACATTGTCACTGTGACACTAAATTGTATGTGAAGATGTGTTATTGTAAGATGTGCTGTCAATACAGAGATGTTATAATTATAAGAAAAACGTTATTTATTTTTAAGATATAGTTTAATGGCTGTTTTCACAAAAATACATATATATGAAATAATTTTAACTGTATATAAATAGAAAATATAAATCAAAAGTATTCACTGAATTTGGTATTTTGTTATTTAAAAAATGTTATTGCACTAAAAAGAGAAATTATCCAAAGAAGAATTCCTCTCAGAGTGGCCAGAATTTGTTCTGTGGTTATTTTAGGCAATCATGTGACGTGTGTTTAAAAATCAATTGCTGCTATTATTCACTAAAGATTGTAAAAGTGAAATCTCCTTTATCGTTTGTGCTGTAGAACAAAAACCTTCTTTACCAGTTTACATATACTGGGTGGTATTTCATGTACTGGGACTGACACTGTGCTTGTGTATAAATAAAACTAGAGTATAAAATATTTAAAAGGGGTAACTTGTGATATAAAAATGGCATGTGTATTTGTAAATTCATGGGGAAATATAACTATTAGGCTTATTTTTCTATGATATAATCAAATGTAAAATGGTGTGTGTACACTTGAAAATGTATATGGTAAATTATATATATCAGAGATGATTTTAGCGTTAATAACTGTCAGTATTGTAACTGTTAGATTTTATTCAGTATTAAAATATTAAAACTCTAACCAAAAAGGTGTTGTTTATTATGGTGTTTACATTGAAAAATACCATTTTAAATAGTTTGTTAAGAGTTTCCCGCAGAGTTGTTTATTTTTTTTTCTTAAATTAGCACAGAAAACATTTTGAGCCTTTTTCTAATTCCTTTAAGTTTTGTGTTTGCCTTTTTTGTTAGATTAGCTGCTTTTGTTCAGTTTCAGTTAAGTTTCTTATAGATTTTTAAGAAAAAGTTTATTTAACTCTGGTGTAATAATGAGTGAAACATAAAATTTTCCACTGGAGCGGTTCGCAGCTGAGTGTGAAGCATCTGGGATAAGCATCGGCTCCTCTAAATCTGAGACCAAGGTCTTGAGTCGGAAAAGAGTAGAATGGCTTCTCCGGGTCAGGGATGAGGTCCTGCCTCAAGTGGAGGAGTTTAAGTATCTCGGGGTCTTGTTCACGAGATCGACAGGCGGATTGGTGCTGCATCTGCAGTGGTACGGGCGTCGTACTGGTCTGCCGTGGTGAAGAGAGAGCTGAGTCAGAAAGCAAAGTGGGATCGCAGATGCAAGCGGCCGAAAAGAGTTTTCTCCACAGGGTGGCTGGGCTCTCCTTTAGAGATAGGATGAGAAGCTCTGTCATCTGGGATGGGCTCAGAGTAGTAGACCTGCTGCTCCTCCACATCGAGAGTAGCCAATTGAGGTGCCTCAGGCATATAGTTAGGATGCCTCCTGAAAGCCTCCGTGGTGAGGTTTTACGGGCACGTCCAACCGGGAGAAGGCCTAAAGGAAGACCCAGGACATGCTGGAGGGACTATGTCTCAGAGCTGGATTCCCCCGGAGGAGCTGGCTCAAGTGGCTGGGGAGAGGGAAGTCTGGGCCTCCCTGCTTAGGCTACTTCCCCCAAGACCCGACTCCGGATAAGTGGATGAAAATGGATGGATGGATGGATGGATGGATGGATGGATGGATGGATGGATGGATGGATAACATTTCCCCTAATCACAAGAATAATGCACATTTTTCTGTCGCAAAACCCATAATTTATTCCCATTTTCCAAATTCATCTTATTTTCTCCTGGGCTATAGAAGGGTTTCAGGAAGGTTATTTATTTATTTGTCTTCTCCACTTTTTCCAGAATTAAAAATGTCTATGGCACATCTAATTAGATACAAAATAATGAATTATTCAGCAACCTGCCATTACATCTCTGGCTCATCAGTTCCAAGTCGACTCGACTAACCCGATGAGTCTCCCTTTTCCTGTCCTCCAGCAGTGAGCCTTTCAGAAACTCAGAATTCACTCAACCTGAGCTACAAAATCAGCTGTGTAACGTACCAAAAGGGTCAATTTTCACATATATATTGACCAACATCTACAGGAATAAATCCACTTTCTCTTTGGCCTTCCAAAGCCGGAAGGTTCTGCTCAGTGCTTGTTGGCATACAAGAAAGACATAACAAAACTGTCAAGGTCTCCGGCACTCTCTGCGTGAAAGCCAGACGTCAACATTCTTCACTCTGAAAAAGTGAAGACTCCATGATTTTACAACTCACAAGCTTACAATAATCATATGTGATGAATGAACAAGATGTTTCAATGAAATGTTTGAATTATCTGTGCTTAAATCCATGAATATGAAATGAATATTGTTCTTACAATGATCCATTTATATCACAAACCAGTATGTGTTTGACTTAACAAGTTAATCATTGTTTACACTCATACACATTAGAATACGATACATATTAAGGTTAATATTCACCTCACATGAGTGTTTTGATCATTCTCATTCAGAAAGTGTTAAAAACCTTTTGTATCTGAGGAGGGCGGGGCTTTCTGAAGGATGTTGGTAAATACTCAAAAACGTGTCAAATTCTGATTTGGCAAACTTGGCCAAAACTCATAACAGCGTAGTTTAATAAAACAAGAATTACTCCCCGAATAATTAAGTTTTCCAGCTAACTCCCGATTCGGCCAAATCGGGAAAGAAGCCTCTTTTGAAACAAACTCCTTTGACCTCCTGTCAAAGCCTCTCTGAAAAGCTGCGGCTGATACCAGACAACCGGCCCTTCTAAGAGCCAAGCAAACATCAACCTTAGACGCAAATAAGCATTCCAGCCTCCTGCCTTCACCTCGGGGGATCTCAAACTGGACGGGTCCTATCGGAACTGTCTACGGGTTCCTGATATCAGAGTTCACTCCACCGACAGTGACCATCGACCCCCCGGATCATACGAGAACCTCCACACCAAGGATGCGTAGACTTGGCACGACAGATTGCATCTGATGCTGTTTTTAATAAACAGCTCTCTAGTTTAGAACCAAGCAACAAATTCTTTTACACCCAGATTTCACAATTTCTCTCAGATACAAAGAACGGTTGCTACAACATCTAGCTTCCATCACAACACCTCACATCCACCGCATCACATCTCATTATTCATATATATATATATATATATATATATATATATATATATATATATATATATATATATATATTAGATAGAATGTAACACAGAATCTGCAGCACAAGTGCTCTGGAAAATGTTGTGATCTTCTGTCCACACTCCCTGACACAGCGAGGCTCTAATGGGGGACGTTAGGCCTTCTGGCTATTTTATACCAGTGGTAGCATCCCCGCTAACAGCAGAGGGCCTTTATGCTACAGTTATGTGAATAATGTTACACATTTCAATTTTACAGACAAATGGGTGGATGTGACTTTGTTGTTGCTGCCAGTGCTTCTCCAAACTGCACCATACAAGTTGAACGAGAGCGTTCCGACCAAGCAGATGTTCAGCAGGCCTTCACTGACTTCCAACCTGTAAGTTCTGTTATTTTTTACTTAAGTTATCATTCACAGCCCACTCCAAATATGTTTCAACATCTGTTTGTGAAATCATAACCTTTATGCCTAAATCTGTTCTTTTTTTCCTTTATCCCCCTCAACTTAGACTGGAACCAGCCTGGTGAAGAACCTTAATGGGACCACAGTGGAGCACCACATGTCCTTATGGCTGCAGAAGACCATCGATGTTCCCAAGAATTTGTGATCATCAATGGAACTGAATACCCATCTGTTCTTAAACATTTTTTGTGTTGATGTCAACTATCCAAAACCATGTGCACAGATTTGGGGGTTTATTCAGACATTTATCTTTGCATCATGAATCAAATGCTGTGAAGCTTTGAGGGCTCATGTTGCTATGATGTAACGTTGATGTTCTGCTGACTAACGCATTAAGGTGAGTGTTGGGAGCTGATGGACATTTACTTCACTACAGTTCTTCCATTAAAATTGTTTAACATGTTTAAGACATTACAAGTTACGAAATGTTTAATATTTGTCATTAAAAAATGCAATTAGTAGTCATTTACAAAGCCAGTTTGAATATGAATGCATGTTTAGAGAAAGTAGAAAATGCAGCTTTATTTGTTATCTATGTATTTTGAAAATTAACAATTTTTGTGATAAAGATTTGACTGAGACATGTTCATTTTGTTTTATTGAATTATTCAATTTGTATTTTATTTGTTGTATTGTATTTACTATAGAATTGGGTCATTTTAACCCAAGCTTTAGTAATTTAATAACCCAGAAGTTGGGTTTTATTTTTAACCCAGTTTTGGGTAGTCCTAACTATACAGTTGGGTCATTTTAACCCATTGATTGGGTAGAAAGCATAACCCAATAAGCTGGGTCAAACTCATAACCCAACCCTGCTTGGTTAAAATAACCCAGCACTGGGTCGGTCCCTTTTTGACCCAGCACCTGGGTTACAAAACAACCCAAATTGGGTTATTTTTAACCCAGCAGTTTTAAGTGTGTATCTTGTCATGTATAAATTATTAGTTTAGGAAAAAGAATTAAATTAATTTTAAAACTTATATACTTGATTCTGAATTACAGTGTGTTTGTGGTCCCTAAAGAAGAACCCTAGAATCTTCTGATTAAACATTCAAAGATCAATCAGATTGATATTTCATATTTATATGGAATCATCACATCTTATTGGTCATAATTAACAAATGTATTCCACTACAACTGTAAAAGTATAGATAGCTATGTGGTTCATGAGGCTCTTTACTAATTGGCATTAAAATGTTTGTGTACTTAAACATTCACAAGACTGAAAGAATTTTATTTTGTGGATCAAAAGCTGTAAAGTTTAGGAATCACTTAAAATGGCGAGAACAACCGGCTCAGAACACCTTACAAGAAACTGACATCATCAAGATCTGATCCATCACAAGTCATTCACTCGGAGTATGCACAAAAATTTGCTGACATTTATTTATATATAAACAGCCTGCTGCTTCAGATGTTATCAGTCTATGAGTTATTATTCTTTAATGCTGAATCCAGGGGTAGTTGATGGTTAACCTAGAACATCAGATGACTTTCCGTCGTTTTCTGGGTAGAAAGTTTTGAAGAAAAAGTAAAAATAAAAACATGAAATCTTTTCTGAATTTTAAAAATTATGTCCTGACAATCTAGTAAATGTATGGAAGTTTAAGTACCCGACCAGATGCCTGCTTAGTGCTTATTTGATTAAAGGTGTGGTTCAATTGTTTAATAAATACAAATTCAGTGGTCTCTAGTATGAATGAATGCCTTGTAAGTTGTGCTGGGGGGGAGAAGCTCCAATGCATCTTTTTCAGAACCAGATCGCAGCTGAACTTCAGACAAAAGGATTTGGAGTCTTATTTCCTGATACTTGAACATCACACCTCAAACTGGACAACAAGAAGTCTCTACCGCTGACTAGGTTTGCTTTGAAACATGGATGTTTTATCTCCACAAACACCACAAGCCTGAAGAAGTTCTGCTGTGTGGTGGAGTTGTTAATGCTAATGTTTAGCTTCTACTAGCTGAGATGTGCTCTGCTGTTTGCTGGACGCTAAACCAACAACACCCTTTCCCATCACAAGTCAAGATGGGTGAGTCCATGAAAGTTCAGTGACAGTGTGACGTAGATCTGTCAGGCTTTTCTCATCCTAGAATTCCACCGTCTATTTCCTCTCAGAAGC